AGCCATGGATGTTTGTCCGCGTTTTTCTGTGTTGTGCTGTCCTGTGTACAGGTAGAGGCCTTGCGACGAGCCGATCCCTCGTCCAAGGAGTACTACCGAATGTCTATATAGATCAAGCCAACGAAAAAGTTGGGACCGGCAGTGCTCAGGCACTTGAAGAACGGGTCGTTCCCTGTATCCTGTAGCAGGTGATACGTATAGTTACTGCTGGTTTTGAATGGTTGATGATCGGTAACAATATATGCGTAGTTAATAATCCAGTCTGACAACCTGAATGCTCTTGGAGTCCCTCTCTGGACATGGATGCATGTACGCGTCTTTATCTGTGGGTACGGGTCGTTCAACGGGGCATTTCCTCTCCCAAGGATTGTGTTGGGAATTAGTAGTGAAAGAAATAATTGGTTGGCTGCAGTTCGCCGTAACTCTGTCCGGGTCTGCCTAGAGTAGGCACTGCAGTATGAGCTGTGCCGTTCGGCCGGGAGAGTGTCATCGTACGGACCGGCTGTCGTTCATTAACAATGCGAAACCGTTCGTCCTGATGGGATCTTAATACCGCACGAAACAAACGTGCAAACCTGGTACGTTTTTGTACCATATTCGGCTCAAAAGCCACATGACAAAGTTCAATAAGTATTTATTATGCGGATGGCTTACACGAAAAGGTTTGCTGGCACGGAGTTTGACAGTTCTGATTTAAGTTGACAAGCCCTCTTGAGGTACTCATAGCATGCGTAGCTGATGAACAAGTTCCTCATATTTTTTGGAACCCGTGTTCACAAGGGCCCGCCACAGGTCCCTGTTCTTCGCCACATGAATCCGTTCCACACCCTCTAACCCCATTTCCCTTTTATCCATTCTAATACCCTCCCGTCTACGCCTAGGTCTTCCTAGTAGCATCTTCCCTTCGGGATTTCCAAACAAAATATTTACGCACGTGGCGTCTCTATATAATAATGAAAAGAAATGCTGTTTTAATGCGACAAAACAGTAGCTCTGAGGTCGGAACAACGCAAGGAAACATTCCATTTCCACTGTCTGCACTGCCTGCGGGATGCTTGTGCGGACGGGCGCCGTGTGTGTGACCCATTTCCTTTACTCCCCTGCTCGCCTCAGCTGCAGATAAACGTGTGGCTTTGTGTTTATTACTCCTACTTCTGCACGGTTTGCATTCCTTCCTCACTGCACCACCGGGTGTTTCTCATACAGCTGTTCGTACGTACGCGAGTTGCCGTATCGGCCCGGGCCGTGAAGAGAACGTAGCGCACCAGGTCCCCAGGCGGAATGCCTGTCACTGTGTCACGTGAAACTGAGCCAAAACGCTGTTTATTTTACTCCCCTTGACGAGTATTTTTGTGTGGCATTAGTAAAGAATCCAATTCTTTCTCGCCTTATTTTCTTCCTCGCGCCTTCAGCAGTGTAGGTGAAATTTCAGGTTCTCACGGCGGCGATTATAAAGATAACTGATCTGGGATGTTGCGCCATGATATCTGGAGAAGTGTATCGGAGTTTCATAGGTTCTGCCTTGCTGCACATAGCCCTGACGATGGAGGCAGCAAGCACATATGAAGTGTCAGTAAACTTCGACCAGACCGCACGGATCAACAACACAGAAGGCAGCATTCTTTATGGAGATAATGATTCGATAAATTCTCTGCATTTTTAGAGACCTGAAGATTTGTCACTGTTCATGAAATTCTGCCATTGGACCCTTGTCCTGTGCCTGCTCAATTCAGTCCACATCTCTGAATCCCATCCTTGAAAGACCCATTTCACTTTTGTCCTCGTATGTACGCAAATGTTCATGCCTGGTCACAAACAGGATTTCCAATTAGTCATTAGTAGGTAAATGCTGTGTTTCATGACACTTGTGGGGGTCCGCAGTGGCCACGGGGTCTGAGGCGTTGGCCTTGTGCTGCTTGGTCGCTATGACCGTGGGTTCGAATCCGACTCAAGCCATGGATGTTTGCCCGCGTTTTTGTGTTGTGCTGTCCTGTGTACAGGTAGAGGCCTTGCGACGGGCCGATCCCTCGTCCAAGGAGTCCTACCGAATGTCTATAGGTCAAGCCAACGTAAAGTTGGAACCCGCAATGCTCAGGCACTTGAAGAACGGATCGCTCCCTGTATCCCATAACACTTGTAAATTAGCAATGTTTCATTAAGTTCATCATGCTGGTATAAAGTGCATTTAACAAGTTGTCAGTTTGTACTTCATTATGAAAATACTGAAAATAAGCAAACTTTGTTGTATTTCTGTATTGGAGGTATTAATTGTGTAGCATCATGCCTTTTGTAAAATTCTCCAAAATACAATTGGAATATGAAGTTGTTGTGCAGAAGTTTTGAGACTGATATGAAACATAAATCTGGATTTAAGAATACAGGTAATCAGATTCTTAATAACTCTAGCGAAGGTGATATTTCATAAGCTATGATGTTGATTTTTTCACCGAATTTATATTCGATTTGGATTTCTTTATATATTGTAGCGCTGAAAACGCCGCCAGCATTCCACGAGCAACGCCAAAAGTTGGAACGTGCCAAGATGGGTGATCTGCTCAAAGCCAAAATTCAGCAACGTCCTGACAGACAAGAACTTATTAGACAACACATCCTAGAAGGTGAGATTCTCTCGAGATGTGTAAAGTGAAGTAACAATTTTAAGGTATTGAGATGTGTTTATGTTGAAGATGTGATGAACTCTAAGAGGAGTGAAGTTTTTTTCTGCAGTTTAATCCAATGGTTTGATATTATACCCATTCCCTTAATGAGATGTCAGCAGAAAATTATAATTAGCTGTTAGTTATGTAAAGAAGATGATGAAATGTTAAAGAAAATGTGAGAGAGACGGACACAAAGGAAGATCTTCTTCTTCTTCTTCTTCTTCTTCTTCTTCTTCTTCTTCTTCTTGTAGCGTTATAACCCTATGTGGGTCTTGGCTTGTTCGACGAGTTCTTTCCATTCTGTCCTATCATTCACAATTCTTCTCCATCCCCTCACTCCCATCGTCCTCACATCCTCCTCCACGTCATCTATCCATCGTTTCCGTGGTCTCCCTCTCATCCTTCTTCCCATCGGTCTCCATTCCATCACTCTTCTAGTTACCCTGATTCCTTCCATTCTTGCAACATTGCCAAGCCAGACTAATCTTTTGCTTTTGAACAAAGGAAGATCAGGAAGGGGTAAAGTGAAGGCAGTGGACGGTGGAAAACCAGAATTGAACAAATTTTGCTTTAGTTTATCAGTCAGTAAAACATATTACTAATCGGGTATGCCTACAGTTGTCATCAATTTTGGACAGGACGATGAGTATATTGTCTGCCCCGACAAAAATGTATATCAGATTTTGTCTAGTTTTTTAAGATTCTTAATTCAGGCATGGCCAGTTGACAGAAAGAGTTTTTCAGTATTTTTAAGGAATATATTTGATTTTCATTTCATGTGACAGGTGCTTTCATTGCAAACTGAACTCTGGCAATAGAATAAGTTATTCATTGTGTGATAATACTAAAATAATAAATTGAACAGATGCCCTTTAAATCCATCTTGCTGTATGTTTTCAACATTATTTTGTGAATCTTTATGGGTAACATCTGAATGGTTGTAAAAATTATTGATAGATTTCTTATGCAGAATATCTGTGTCTGTTACAGCTGACATGGGGCATGTAGATCCTTCACTAGCGGAGAGACAACGAATGCTAAAAAAGGCTCGTTTGGCAGACTCATTAAATGACCAGCTGTCGCATCGACCTGGCCCACTTGAACTTATCAAGAAGAATATCTTGCATACAGAGGAGCCTATTGAGAGAGCAGTCAAAGGTAATTTAATATAAATAATATGCTGAGATATTTGAAATATATCTTCATAATGTAGTACATATCATGTAAATGTCATATTTATCTATTGCACAGAGGGTGTCATACCATTCAAGGCAACATGTGAGGGCCAATTAACAAAACCTCAACATCCAAACCGATACATAACATTTGAAGAAGATTCTCAAAGTTCTGAAGGTGCACAGTCACCTCTGGAGATGCATTCATCAACATCTATACCAGAAGTGAGATCACAGTCAGATGTCTTAGAAGCAGCAGCAGCATCAGCTGGAATTGTGACTGTTGCCTTGACAATCCCAACCACAGGAGGAGCTGTTGTTGTTACATCAGCTTCTCCAGCCACATTTCAACAAGCTGTTGCAGCATCGGTATCCCCTAGCGCGGACCATCGGCAACAGACTGCAACAGTGACATTTGCAGATCTCTGCAGCAATGTAATTGGTGGAAATGCTCAATTACCATCAGTGACTGCGGCTACCACGTCCCTGCCCACTATCTTGCCCCTTGCTCCAACACCAAGCCCCATGAGCCTCGGCTCCACAACCTCTAGCCTAAGTCCGCTGAGTTCCGTGTCTGTATCCTCGCCTCCGGCACCCCCCACGCCTTCACCAGCCCTCACAATCACGCCAAGGCCCGCGCCTCAACCATCACCAATTTCAGCCGTCTCTTCGCATCGTACTGATGCTCCAGGCAAAGACAAAAACAGGAAGAAATCTAAGTCCAAGTCACAACCAAAGACCAGGACTATCAAGTTCCATGAATACAAGGGTCCACCAAATGCCCATAAAAGCTCTGCCATGAGTGCTGCCTCTCCTGTTGAGACGTCATATGAGCTGCTACTTCAGCAACAGCAGTTGTTTCTCCAGTGGCAACTGGAATGGCAGCATAAGGTACAGCAAACTCAGCGTTCTCCTTAGTAAGATATAGTAGGTTTTTATTGTGAGTGTTTAGATGAATTGAAGGTACAAACATTGCTTCCTTTTCCACAGTATCCACAGATCATCTTGCCAGCTGCACAGAAGCCACTGTCTGTAAGCACAGACTCTGTGAGTAATGGCAGTGCTGCAACAGCTACGTCGCTATCTGGCATGATCGCAGTAGCGTCGCCCCCAGCCGCCCAGACCCACTCTGCGGGAGGCACCGCAACAAGTGCCTCAGCCACAGTTACTGTGGCAGCTCCTAGCTCAAACTCCAGCTCTGGAGTACCAGTTCCTTCGCCTGCAACACCACACCCTCCCACACCCCAGCAAGAGCAGCCACAACTGCAATCACAGCAGCACACACTGCGAATCCTGACCAAGTTGGAGGACATGAAAGGTAAGCGTCTACAATGAACCTCTTTGGGCTAATGACTGCGTGTTTTGAGATATTCCCTGTGTTGGTTCTGTTTCAAACCTTTCAGACTGATTGGTACAGTTGCGTTATATCTTTAAATGTTGGTTTCTATCCATGATGTAAGTCTATCACAGTTATAAAATATGCTGGATTTGGGCACTCCAAATCAAAAATGTTATTATTTTCTTAGGATCAGTTTGCAGTGGTCTAGTGGATCTCAAGTTATGAGATAATATAGCAAAATAAATTACTGTTATTCAATCATATCCAAAACCATATGAATTGGGGGGATAATGTGCTTCCTTTGATGAAAGAAGTCAATTTTGACTGAATTTGAATGGTGTTTCAAAGTTTAATGTAGGATCCTGATTTCACTGGAAACAGCCAGATGGGTGTTGGTAGATATTTGTAAACATGGCGGCATGTAACAGTACAAATAACATGGTAGAGGCGCCCAAAGTTCATCTAATGCTTTATTTTTTCTAACAGTAAGTGACCTAAAAGCAGAGCTCAAAAGGAGAAATCTGCCTGTGTCAGGCTCAAAGCCTCAGCTGATAGAACGCCTGAAACCGTTCACTGATTCCTTAAGTGGCACATCACAGCAACAACAAGACAGCCACATGACATCTGTCACAAGCACGTCCATCATGAGCCCCACCACGAGTACTACTACCACAACGGCAGCAACAACCATTCCAGTGACCCAGATGGGTCACATTCTCATGGACACACCTGGCCCAGTTATTAGTGAGGAATCGTTGTCAGGTAAATATAATATCACACGGATTTGCTGTAGGTAAATAATGACAACAGCCTGTTACTTTTACAGTTGCAGTGTTTTCATCAGAACATTTTGTAGCAATTTATGGCTCTAGAAATGTGATCACCTCCTCCTCCTCCTCACAGACAAGTGGTAAATAAAAACATATGAATGGAACATAGTGTGAGATGCTGGGCAGATGAATTTTGTTAAGTGGTTAATAGACTAAAATTGTACTCGTGTAAAATTAGTTCAGTAGAAGAAGCCTAATTTTTAATGTCGTGCTTTTATTTTTATAGTTTTATATCCTACAACTCAGTCATCAACAAGACTTATGAAGGTGGTGGTAGAGGATAGATCAATTTTGAGTTTAGTTTCACTCCAGTAGGCATCAAGCGCATTGTCAGCATGGGGGATTGAGAATTGCATTAGAAAGGTGGGATGATTGAATGATCCATGAACCATCAGGGAGCCAAATTTATGGAGGTTTAAATCCATGCAAACGTATGTATCACCAATGATTTCAGGATAAATATTTTGAGAACCTGCTCTCTGAAATCAATTTCAGTTCTTGGCAATCTTCTTCACAGGTTTGTCAATGGAGACCCCTGTTTCCCCACCCACACAGCAGATGTCCCTCGTACTGGATGGCTCCGGAGGAGATGATGATGTGAGTTTGCCTAATTTCTCACCCAGCTCACAACATCAACAGCTGTCTCCATTATCACAGAATATGTCTCCAGACTCGGTTGCGGCTGCTGACCTCGACATGGACACGACAGATGGCAATCCTCTTACTGTGAGCTCCCCATCAGGACAGCAAGGTTCACCTCCACCTCCATCACCCCAGCAGCAACAGACTCTGGTCAGCGAGGACATTATTCGCGATCAGCAACGTAAGATTGAGGAGCTTCAACGTGAACTACTCAAGTAAGACCTGCATTATTAATTACCCTTGATAGCCATATTAGTTATTAATGTTAGGAAGAAAATATATAAAACATGAGTCGACATTTCTATTGCTGTGAGAACATTTAATCTAACGTGAAACATAAAATTTTAAGATGATGTTCAGGGTTTTGGTACCATGCACTCTTGTACGTAGATGTCAGTAGGCATCTACTGATGGGTCTGCATGGTGCCAAGACCCAGAACAAAATAATCATGCTCACTGCCGTGAAAACCTCAAATCTCACATGTGAAATAGAAGGTTTTCACTGTAAATAAATGTACAGAAATCTTCTGTCAATTGGCTGCATCATTTTTGAGCAGAAAGACAATGTTTCTGAAATTGCCTATGCCTTCAGCAGAGTCAAGTGGCCCTACATTTTGCTCTCACTCTTCTGTGCTGCTTAACCTGGGGAATGGTCCTCTGTCCATTGGCTAAACCCAGAATGTCACTGCATAACCTAATCATATAGGTGCACATAACATTTTGATAGTTCAGGTAGCATCCTTCCTCTGTCTGTGTCAGTCACAAGGAAATAATCTGGCGGTGGCCGACTTGGTACAGTGTCGTAATTGAAGGGTGTTGGCGCCACAGGTCACAGCTGCAGCTGCAACAGTTTCGCAACAGCAAGGAACTGAGTAGTGCTCCACACCTGAAGCAGCAGCAACAGGCTCTGGTAGCAGTACCATCCACCTCGCTGTCTAGTGGCATTGTCATCAATCCAACCACTACTAGTCCTGTAACCACATCAGCTGTTGCAGCCTCAAAACAGCAGAAGCTTAAGCAGCACCTCGTACAGAAAATACATCAACAGCAACTCCAAATGCAGCTCCAACAACTTCAGACACTTCAGCAACAGCAACAACAGCAGAGGCAACAGCAGCAACAGCAACAACAACAGCAGCAGCAACAGCATGTTGCATTCCAGCAGCAACAGCAAGTAAGTCAGGCTTGAAGGATTGTACAAGGGGCCTTGTTTGCACAGGGGTGAAGGTTGGATGTGAAGTGGAAGGTGTTAGCATTTGAGTCCAGATGATCCAATGGATATTTTTTTCATGCCTTCCTTTGCTGTCTGCTATAATGTAATCAGAATATGTGGGTGTGTGGCAGGGGACATAGCAGGACCCCTACATGGTTCAGATTCCACGTTTTGGTCCCCTATTCTAGCCATCCTCACCAACACCCTATCATTATCATCAAGGGTGAAATGGATGTTCTACCCATTGTATGCTCTGATCTGCCAGGTATTCAGAGGCTAGAATGATCAGAGGACATTTCTGCAGGTAAACTTTATAACAAAACTCTCCATATGAGAAGAATCGTCCTGAGTCCTGCAAGGGCACAGTACAGAGCATTCATGTGAGTTGTAACCCGAATATATTTCTCACATATCAAAGTTGTAAAAGTTTGATAAGTACTATGAGGTTAAAAAATTACATCATATTGCTTATCACGCAATAACAAAAATAAATTTTTGTCTGCTTTTTTTATTTTAATTTCATAAGGGAAGACAAGTTAATGGCATCTTCGTGCCTTTGCGTCCCTGTGTCTGGTCTTCCCATTGTACCTTTCTCAGCTGACAGATTTAAGACTCACTTTTTATGCAGGGTTTGAATGCAAAGGCAAGTCTGGCAGCATTCCTTCAGAGTCAGAGTCAACAGCAGCAGATAGCAAACTTGCTTCAGCAGCAACATCAACATTCAGTTGTTAACAACAAGAATAACAACAATAATAAGAGAACCAATGCAAAGAGCATTGTCCTGGGACAGCAGCAGGCAGCAATTGTGCTGAACCAATTAAACCTCCACAAGCAGAAGGCATCGGCTCTCAATGGTGTGTCTAGCCACCAGAGGTTAGTACCGATATTGTCAGCTTGGCTGCTTTCATCTGTTGAATAGGCTGATCCATGTTCAAGCATTTTAAACGGATCCTAGAATGGAACAATGTCATAAATATACTCCGAGAAACACCTGACAGAAAGAGAGAATGGAGGGAGGTTACTTTTTTTAACAGTCTTTGGTTTTTCAAATCTTCAGGTGGATTATTAGGAGTGTATTGAACTTGAAGCCACATGGGCAAAGTACGACTTGGGAAACCCCCTCTCCTACATTCTTTTGTAATGAAAAGGCCTTACAGTTTGACACCTATTCAAAATCTATTTATATTAACTAAATCAAAGAGAGGGGAAGAATATTAAACGCGCATAATCTAAAAATTGTCTCCACCTGAAATTGTTTTTCGAAAATTCAAACCTTAAGTGTACGTCCTTCGTGTGTCTACTTCCCAAATATGTGAATTGAACTTATAGGCTGAAGTAACTATTAAAGACTTGAAATTCTGCAAATAGTTTATATATGCGAGTGACGTCTGGCAGCTGAAAAAATTGGCAGATGTGTTCTTGAGATGTTTTGAAATAGTCTGGAAAAGTTTAAGCATATGGTAGAGATGCTTATGCCATGGGGGACCCTAAAATCAGGGCCCTGGATATCTGCCCACTTTGCCTACTGTATAAAGCTGCCGTGGCAGTACTCCAAGAGCATCAGAAATTTTTTACAAGAATAAAGAAACTGCTTTGGTCCAACTTGGATTTCTTTTGTTACAGGACTTCATCTTTACCCAACTTCTTTGGTTCCTTTGTTACCCAGCAGCTACATCAACAGCACCATTCAGCAGATAGCTCAAAAGATGCAAGTTCAAATACTTCCTCAGCTCAGAGTGGCTCAGACTCACAGCAGTTCCTACTCACAAAGCCTCCCCCACAGTATGAGGAAGCTACAAAGCAGTTGAAGGTAAAACAGGTAATCACTAATACCATATTATTTGTAGGCTAGTTGGAGGAAAGTTCTTGCTACCCTTGTGGTTGTCTGTAGGATGGTGTCAGTGTTAGAGCATTCATGTTAACCATGCTAACCTGGCTAACACCTTGACATAAATTTGGAATCCTGACATCAACCCTGAAGACATGAACTTGTTATTTATCAGGAGAAGACACTACCAATCCTTTTGTTAGTTATATGAAATATGTAATTTACACTTAACGAGTGTTCTCACAGGTGGAGTGCCCATAAATTTCAAGGGGTGATTGTTTAACATGTCTCGGCTAATTGAAGCTATCAGTTGTTCAGTCCATGAGCGTGAATGGGTTAAGATCACAGTAACTATCATAGCAATCCAGTTTTATCCTCACTAGATAATGTGACGGGTAGACATTGAGTGTTGCCTTATGTTCATCCTTGTGTACTGGTGCAGTGTGCAGATGATATGTATCCTTAATTGTTGGTCATATTTTGGTTCTGCTTATTACAGGAATGATTTGTTCTCTGCTCAGCATAGCCCACATAAATCCTTCTAATATTGGTTTCTGGGTTCATGTGGATGGTGTTTGTGTTTCATTTTTCCCTTTTGTTTCAGTCTAATGACCTCTTAGAGAACATAAATGCACAGTGAACTAAGCAGTTTCTGGTATATTCAGCCATAGATCCAAAATTTTGACTTAAAATCTTGCTTTGTCTTCCAGGAAACGAACACAAACGTTTCAGGCAGCAAGAGCAGCAGTTCCCGTCCAAAGAGTGTGAAGAGCCAGATAGTAGATGATGTGTTGGAGATTCTGATCAAGAATGGCGAGCTGCCTCCGAGTGCTGCCCAGGATCCTGGGACTCCAACCACACCCAGTCGTTCCATGCCACAAGGTCTTGTTTTTGTCAGTTCGACAGATACCGCAGAGAACCCAACTCCAGCCACATCCCCGCCTGCACCTCCACCCCCACCACCGCCTCCTCCTCTTCCTCACACCACTTTTGCCATAACCTTGCCCACCGCTATGTCCCTCACCAGTCATGCAAGTGGCAGCCCTTTTCACATGCAGTTCTCTGGGTCAGACTCTTTGGACTTCATCCTGGATAATGTGGAAGGAAATGTCTCTGGCGACTGTCAGCAACAAGAGTCACAGAATCATCCACTGATAGTGAATACTGACTTGCAAGGAGCTCCACCAGGCATTGATCTCAAGGAGCTGGGCCTAGACTTAGAGACCTTGGACCCCATGGACTTTGGTCAGCTTGACTGTAGTGACCTTGGGGTGCCAGTTGTGAAGGTAGAACCTTCAGACCTTTTGGATCCTGTGACAGACATGGAGATAGTTGGGCCAGGTGGGGAGAGTAGCACCTTAAAATTAGGTCAGCATCAAGTGTGTGAGCTGATGGACATCGGTGAAATGCCCATGGACATGGATGATGCTGACTGGCTAGAATCATTAATGCCCCCAACAAATGCTTCATCAGGAGGTAGTGGAGGTGACGTAGAAGGCAGCACCTCGGTGATGACCTCTCCACATCAAAGCTCATTCCTTTCAGCCTCTTCCACCCAAGGAAACTCATTTCATTTCAACCATAACCATCTTCATAATGGTCATCACCATGTTGAATTGGAAACATACGACCCTCTGTTATCTAACAGCCAAGACCCATTCGATCTCTTCAACATTGAAGAGTCAGATTTCAAAATGGCTGGAGACCTCAATACAGCACTTGGCTGGGGTGACAAAGTGGATTTTGCAACTTAGCAGTCTTCAATGTGGAGTTCTTGGCTGTAGACAGTCTGCAGAAAGAATGCTGGCCTAATACAGTGAAATAGTCTGGAAACTTCCAGAAACTTCATCTAACAAATTTCTGACCATCGAAGAGGGAGAAGAAGAACAATAATATGAGGATGATGAAGAAGAAGGAAAACAGCTTTTGCAGATTTAGTGCAAAGATACATCTGTTGCTAAGAAACATAACCCACTAATACATTTTTAAATGCTAATTAGAAGTTTCGGGAAGTGTAAAAAAGAGTTATGACTATAATTGTGACTTCTCAAAGTGAAACGTAATATCATGTGCGTAGTTAGGTCTACAGGTAACAGGGAGTTGTTACAAAGTGAAGAGTTTGAATGTGGTGCAAGAATACTAAGAACAAACCAAAGTGGTGTTAATTTGCCCATAATTTATAAGGTGCAGGATCACTTTCATTTATTTATTAATACTTGAGGTATATTCCACAAGCACAGTCATGTAGTAGAATGTTTCCGTCTTCTCGATGACATGCCATGAATTGAAATGTTCGTGACAACAAAAGACTCCGTTGTTCTTCATGAATCAAACAGTGCCTTATTGTGTCTGGGGGAAATGCAGATGTACATAGACTGCCCCTGTCATCTTGTAAACAGAACCTCAGAAACACAACCAATAATTTTAATATATGAACACAGGTATAAAGGACCATAAAGACAAACGAGATGAGTAATACAGAATTGATGGACCACTGCATGCAAACTTATGCTTCTACAGATTGTCATAATGTTTGCGGAATTAGATCGTAAGTCAAACTGGGACACAAAGGAAAAATCTTTGAACACATTCAGTTTAAAAAATTGAAACATCCCACCATAATTGACTGCCGAGAATGTAACTACTATATATATATATATATATATATATATATGTGTGGTTGACACTTCTACATCAAACAGACCTGGCTGCTTGCCTGAAAACTTAACTGTAGGAATTAAATAAGATTTTTACTTTTCCAACTGAAGCTTTGTGAAAAGAAAGTTTTTAATTTACTGTTATTGAATCTGATAATTCCTATGCTTCCTTAGGATAGAAGCTTTGCTGGCTTCAATGCCTACTTTACGAGTTGTTCCTTGACATTTGCTGAAGTCTGTTATTTAAAAAAAGTTATTACTATGAATGTTACTATAATTATTCCCTAGTACTTAACACATTCATATTGCAGTAATGCTTCCAGTTTGGTGAGGCCATTACATTAGCTGTTAGTGAGTGCAAAATCTTGGAGTGTGTGTGTGTGTGTGTGTGTGTGTGTGTGTGTGTGTGTAAAGTTTAATTTGGAGTAATGTTGGCCGTTTCCCACGAAATTGCATCACTTGTAAACAGTTGTATGTTTGTACAAATTTTCAAAGACTCGTGCTCAATTTATCATTTCTTTTACACTTCATGAACAAACTAATAGATAGTTGGTGCATCCTTAGAACTAATGAAGTAAACTGGCTTTCGTAAATCTACAGTGTAGAAGGTGTAACTTTCTGGGAGGCTTCTAATTGTCTTATTCAGATGTTGACTGTATTATAAAGACGCCTTTGTTATGCAAAATTTTGACAAAGTGGTTAGTGACAAGGGGGATAATGGTATTTAAATTAAATGATTCTGCTTGTGAAATGTTTAAATTGTGTGTTTTTTAAAGAAACAAAAAGAACAGTGTTTTTGCGTGCAATTTAACCTAGGGATGTGTGTCAGTGTAGAGTTTGCATATCTGTATCATATTTGTTGTGTTATGTAAATTTCTGGCAGCTATACAAAATATATAAAAACACACACACACTCAAGTTCTTTCAGTGACGATAGTGGTCTTTAACATGCAGAATTATAGTAATAGATGTTACCCACAGTTACTTTTTAATAATGGTGCTTGTTCCATCAGAAATTAGCTGGTACATTAGTAGAATTATTAACAAAATGGCAGTCCTGCAAACAAAATTGAAAGTGAAACAAGATTTTGTCCAGGATGTTACCATGTGGCATGGTACTCCATTTTTTCTGATTTGTTTGTTTTAGTGACATTCCATGTATGAAAAAAATGAGCTTCCTAGAGGACCTGCTTCATTCTTTTGTAAGTGTACTGTTGGACAGTCTGATGACCCATTTCTAGTCGTTCCACATATTCAAAAGTGCTCATTTCCATGATATCAAGAATCGGCCATTTTGTAGTTCTTGAAAACAGAGTATTTTATAAGGTTTTGTATACGTATATATTTTTGTTTATTGAACATAAAATGCGTAAAGATAGCATTTAAGGTTTATATTGAAAGTTAAAGAAATGACTCCCAAGTTACGTGTATTGTTGTTATCTTGGTTAACACAGTGTTGTACATAACGGTCATATTTTCCACAGATATAGCTGTGTTTTCTTGCTGTGTGCTGCAGAAATATCATGACTTGTTGATAACCATTATACATTCCAAGTAGAACCATACAGAATGAACTACTAGCAGCAGCAGAGCAGTGCACGATATGAGTCAGGGTAACCTCTTATTGATTTAGGAGACAAGATTTTTCTTCTGCTCTGTTTCCATTAAAATATTTCCTGTTAAATAAAGATGGCAGAATTAAACACAGACTCCATCACAAGCTGTTCTTTCAAATGTGATGTTGCAGGAATTATTTTTTTTCATTTGCGATGTCCAGCCTGTACTTGGACTCACTCAGTCCCTTATCGAGTGGGTGCTAGGGATTCTTTCTGCATTTGTAAAAGGGCCAGACCGTGAAGTTTGCCACTACCTCCACCTATTACTAAGTTCTAGAATGGATGTTATTTCACCATATGAATTTTATACGTCTTCATAGAGTGGTGTTTGGATTCAAATATTTCATTCTGTAGTAATACTTTAAAAGGCCCCCTGCCATTGGGTTTATCCATATGGATATAAAATTGTTTGCTCTAGAAGAACATGCAATATGGTTTTTCCCTTTAAAGGTTTCTGTTGAACATACAGTATTGAAGTATTAAAAGTCTCAGTTCTTAAGCTGTGTGTTATTTTAAATTGTATATAAAGCTGCTTTCTTTCTCCTTCATACATTTCAGTTGCTATGTAGCATTTAATACACTGTTGTGGAACTGGACAGTGAAGTGAAGGAGTCTGTGTACTAGAGCATCTTTGGCACTTCTGCAGAGCTAAGTTGGGAAAATGTGTGACCAAATTTCTCAGGTATTCGGATCCTTCAACATTTCACGTAAACTTGATGATAGAAGAGACATGCACCAGTACATAAAAATAACCAGGTATAGGAAACCGACTAGAGTTTTGCTGGCTTATATATTGTCAAAATATAATGAAGTTTGATTAAATTTGATCACATAACAGCACATATTCATACCAGAAGGGACAGCTTCAGCTGAGAAAGTCTTTCGTAATAGGATTTTTTTGTGCATATCTTTTGTATGTGCTTAAGTTTTTGGACTTTCGTCAGGTTTATTACTTGCAAGATGTAAAATTCTGTAGAACAGAAGCAACTGACCTGTAATTTTAATGGGCATTTATAGAGAAAAATGTATTATTATAAATTCAAGTGCTATATTTTATCATTCATGATTCATTAATTAATTAATGACTGACAAATATTCATACAAATTCCAAAATATTCTGATGAAATTATTCTCTTATCATTTGACACTATCCCAATTTGAGCTCTGCTGTACAGCCTACTGCAAGAGCCTTTTAATACTTAAGCACATAGATCTGGTCAGGTGACACTGAAATATTGTGAACAAGACATCTGAGTGATTTATATTGAATATTTAAATATGTACAATTTAGAATTATGAACACTATTTTTATAGGATATTACTTCTTCCATTAATTTAAAGAATCAGTCACTGTTTATTGAAATGGTTTTTGAATAATTAAAGGTTTTTCTGACCTTGCAGTAATAAATTGCTTTTCTAAATTATTTTAAATACTGTTTGGCTTGTGACACTACTACTGTAGTGAACTGTGGATAGTCAGTTTTCTGAACTAAATTTATTTGTATGTTTCATTAATCACAGATTCTTAAATTCGTAATACAGACTACATTTAATTTAGAAACACTGCAGTGTACTGATTTAGCAATAATTGGATCATAGCTACTTCAGAAATGAACATTAAATTCAGATCATTGAACTGGTAAGTGAACATGTGTTTGTTGTGACATACCAGCTTCAATTTTGAATGCCTTGTGCAGTAATGGCTCCCAACACAGAGATTTGTGCTAAGATTATTTATTTTTACAGTTGATCCTTTGGTCATCAGTCTGTCCATTGCACAAGGTGATGGTAGTGGTGGTGGTGGTAGTGTTGTGTCGTACTGTCGCATGTCTGAACACTTTTCTTTCTTTATGTCCACTACTGAGGTATCACAAATAAGGAACTTGTTTTCTTCTAAAAGAAACTTAAACTGAACTCTTGTGTGCAGTACATGCTGGACACAGTAACACTAATGGTGGAGATGATACATAGCTGTTTTACCCAAATGCATAGCTTGTATTTTTTCTTAATTCACATTGAAACTCTTCTGAAATGGAATGGATTTTTTGATTCTTCTGTTAGGTGCAGTTTGTATCATTCTTTCCTCATTCTAATTTAGAAGCAGATTCATTAATCCTGATTCAGAGCTTGGGGTTTGTAAGTTGCCAAACTTTATTCAGGAAAATGAAAATTCTTTAATGCTTCCATTTGCTCAGATTAAACCAGCTTATAAATGCTTCTGGAAGGAGTTTATTTTCTTCTAGCTATAATTTAAAATTATTTTAACAAATAGTTGTGTTGTGTGTTCTTTTGTTGATATTCCCATGACCATTTTTGGGACCGGGACCATTTAAGACAGACCCAGGAAAGAGAGATAATATATGAGTTTAAAAAGAGGTGAAAAAATGAATGAATACATTTGTAAATATAAAAAGTATTGCAAAGATATAGATTGACAAAGTGTCTTATTATTTGGAAATGCAGAGTTTTTAACTTGCATGGCAGTCAGATCCCACATGGAGTGTAAGCTTACTGTTGCTTTAAAAACATATCCTTTTTTTTTTTACTTTGGCCAAAATGACTTTCTTTTTTGCCAATCATAAGATTGTGTTTGATGAATTTTGTTAAGGAGAATTGATATCTTCCTTTGTACAATCATTGTAAAGGTGTGCCCTAATGTAAATATAATGAGATTGAAAAAACTGACCCGTGTAATTTGGGTTGCAAGTGGTGAGATTAATAAATTCAAGTATGTATTCACCATAACTATTTCACTCCCCATTCTATTTATTCTAGGCACCAAGTATTCTTCCAGTCCTGCTACCTTGTCCATGGTCTCAGTCAGAGCTACCTAAAATGTAGTCATTCAAGCTTTCAAAACGTTTATTTTAAGTTGTCAGTGGAAGGGCATATGACAGTGTTTTTTTAAAATAAATTAAGTCCTTTGTTAGCATGAAGGAAATTGTCCATCCTGGAACTTGTGTAAATGTAATATGAGTACCCCCCTCCCTTCAGCCTGGTGATCTGGGTTGTGACTCTGTGTGAACTTGTAAATGGATACCAGCATTTCTTCAGGATGCAGATTAAAGCATTGTGTTCTGAAATCTGGGTTCCATCTACATAACTTCACAGCCCAGAAGACCAAGAATGTCAGGTCTCACAAAATTCATGTTTGTAATAAATATCTTTTGTGCCTCTTGTCTATATAAACTTTCATAATGGACAATTATTTAAAATTAAGGTTTTCCAGAACAGTTTATTTCAGCATGCACATCAGGGCCTGAACTTACGTGTAGTAGTTTTTGCCAATTTCTAGAAGTTTTATATCCATAACATAGCACCCTCTTGAAGAATTTTATTAAAAATATATACTGACATTTTTTCATCAGAACATAGTCATTCAGACCACTTCAGCTACTAAGGACTTATGCTGTACTTAAGTATCAAACAAAATGTTTACCTTATTAAATGTAACATCTAGATGTGTTTCAAGTAACAAATTATAGAATTTAAGAAAGGTACATATTTTATACATGTACAGTTTTTTATAATAGCCGTGTGTAGGGATTTGACATCTATATATCATAGACAGTAAATTATGAAACATAGTAATGACCCCTTGAATATTTAGTTTATGAATTTTCATAAATTCTTAACCATGTAATAGTCACATTAGGTGCCCTAATGATGGAAGCAGTAAGTACCTCTGAAACGTTGGTCAACTGCTACAACACTACACATCACGGCATCCAAGAACGCTGTCATATCTGGTCTAATTAGTCTCATTCTGCACTATTTTTGACTTTGCAAGTCAGTGCTCTTGTGATATACTGATTTTTAACAGGTAAGTACACACATTAAAAATAGTAAAAACATGCTGAAATCTTCAAGTCATTTTGTCTTCAATTATGTGGTTTTGATGTGATTATGCTTGTTGTGTCTGTTAGGTTTTCTACAATGTAATGGTTAATGCATTGTATATTATTATGCAATTGTGTTGCCAATGGTGCAGTATTTTGTATCCAACTTCTGCAATCTAGCTGCAGTAAGTTCTGTATTTAAAACATGGGGTTACTGCTGTCTGTACCATTCATTTTTAGTGTTTATTAATCAACTATATAAGATATCTTTCTTTACTGAAGAAGTACTTCACTTTCTTTAATTTTAAAACATTCATAGCATTGTGTATGATCCCATGTGTGTGTGCTGTTTTTTTAATATGTGATGTGAATATCTAGAATTAGATCAAATTTCAGGCTATCACAGTGGTGACGATGAGTGTTGTGGGTTGTGATGCCATGTAGACCTATGGGAAGGTTCCTGCCACCATCTTCAGGGCTCATGCAGACTCATAGGTAGAAACCAACATTTCAGAGGAGCATTAAGTCAACTAAGAAACTGAACTGTAAAAATGTGACAAATTTCAGCTGTCTGTAGCACAAATTTAAAAATCTCAGGAATGTATTAAAATATATACAAGCCGATACCTCAAAATTCTCGTGTTACAGGATACAAATGATGAAAGCAGAAGTCTTATGTATCAGTGCTACACTTCATAAGGTACTGAATGTCCGTGACATGGGAATGGAAGCTCTACTGTGAAGTATAAGCTATTCTAGTGAGAAGGTTCATGATGTATATGGGAAATAAGGTAAATGAAACTTTATACAATTTTTTATTTACAAGTACTTCTTTCAACAAGACATAAGAGTCTGAGCTCTGATGTTCGTGCAGTAGTGGAGACACTGATCGTGGTCTTGTAGGTGGTTAACAACATGTCTGAAGATGGAGGTGATATGTTCATCTGAAAAACTGACGACCTACAAAACCACACATTATTACAAACCATCCCAGAAGGCCATGACTAACAAGACACAGGATTGATATTTAAATGCTTTTCTTTTAACATGAACATTTAAGTCTGTATTCCTCAGAGTTCAGCTTCAACTTATATTTTTTCAGAGAATTAATGGAATGTATTGTTTATGAATGTTAGTTTTGCCTCTGCAAGGGACAGTTAAAATAACATTTCTCACTGTGAACCCTCAGTACAACATAACAGTTAAAAATTTATATCACACACAAAAATGAATTTTTTGGACATTATTACAAACCCATTTCACCTTTTCCATCACATTCTTTACTGAACAGAAAATGAATATTTGTTGACAATGTAAAAGGACTGAAAATAATAAATATGAAAATTAATGCTGTTATATGAGACCCCTCATTATCCCATTTCTTACAGAGGTGTTGGTGCATGTGATGTATTGACCATGCAGATAATATAATATACTGTTATAATAACAAGTGGTCAATCAAAGTATGTGTACCAGTTGGTATTCTCAGGTGTTTCACACAAACTGATGCTTATCAAATCCCATCATCTATGGTCGTAATGCCTTACTTTTGTGTGTACCTTACCAGGATGTTTGTTTATAATATATTAATTTTTACATTTGGCAATGAAGTATTAATTATTACCCTTGTGTGACATTGTAAGTAAATATTCATCTTTTTCTAAGCCAAACATTATTAGAATTAATCAGTTTTGTACAAATCTTTATTTTAATTTTACAGACAATGAATAAACCACAAATTTTATTGTTTCAGTTCCTTTGGTGGAGATGGTGGCAATGTTGGGTCATCTATGGCATATTTCTGATCACACGTGAAAGATACAGTTAGTGCGTATCGAGTCCCTGATGTGACCCTTTCCACATAGTGAACATTCTCTGAGCCAGAAGTAAACATAGATACTCGACCTGCAAAAGATAGAATTGGAATTTTAAACATTTTAAGTGTTTTTATTTTTTCATTTGTTATAAAAAATTTGACTTTCTGAATTTAAGAATCCAATTCACTGTATAAATAACAGCAAGAATGTTATGTGATGTTACTTACAACAAGTTTACACTGTACATAAATATTAAAGATAGCTTTGAAACTCATACATTCAAAATACATAATCTCTTTGAAAAAGTATTAAGAAAAATATGTACACTTGAACTCGATGCACAGGACAACTGGTGTTTTGTCATAATCTGACTTGACACTTAAAATCTCTATGGGCGAGTAACTATGCTGGGTCTTCCAAATGGTGGTTTCTCAATGTCTGTTGATTCTTTATTCTTTCTCTGTCCTTGTAATGATGTTTTTAAAATTTCTATCTTCCCTTTAGTTTACTGCTAATAATGTACATCCTAAGATAATACAGTACCACTTCCATGAGTAATATACCTTTTCTTGGCTCTACAGTCCTATTTGTGTTGTCACCATCGATGAAAACAAATCTTCCCCCTTGGAAGTCACGTCCATAATCAGCAAGATAAAGAAGAGAGGTGTAATGGAATGATTCGTAAGTCTCCTGAAAGAACAGAAATCCTTGTGATGAAGATCAACCAAGTGCTTGATCAGAGCACACCTCATGGGGTGATGATCGATGAATATGGAGAAATGGTGGATAAAACAAAGAACCTGAAGAAAAATCTACTTCAGTTCCACAGTCCACCACAAATTTCACTTTAAGTCTGAACCCGAGTCTTCATGGTGAGAAGCCGGCATCAAGCTTCCTGGGCTATGGCATGATCATTTGAAATTAATTATAAGCTACTTCTTGCAGTTAGTACATTCAGAGATCTTTCTTGTTGAAGACGGCTGTCTTCTGGGTTGTATAGCACTGTGTAGTCTGGAAGAAGTCCATGAACTTCTGCCAGACTATGTGGTGCACAACCCAGAAGACAGACATCTTCATATATAAACATGTTTATTTATGAAAGGGTAACTAGAAACTGCCCACCAGCACGAATTAAGCCATTTACTGACAACAGCGAAACACTGTCTCACGCAACATTTCATCAGAATCCAACAAAGTCTTGACTGACTCAGTTAACGGAGTCTTTACTTTGCACACGGATGACAAAGAAATGCTTTAAAGCAAGATAATAACAGAAAAACTTTACACAAAAATCTCATGCTCTGGTAATGAATTTGAAATGAACCTTGTCAATATGTGGATGCCAGTACTCATCATGTATTGTTAGGGCAGGAGCAGCATTGAGGCGTGAAAAAAATGTTGGATGTGTCAGGTACAGTGACTGTGGTTGCACTCCGAAGTGATGACCAACAGCATTCTGGATCTTCGTCTTCACAACCCTAGTACACACCAATCCACAGTTTTACAACTCGTCTATCTGTCTAGGTGGAGATACTGAACACACGAAAACAAAATGGAATCGAATCACACTAATTCTTTAACTCTTCTGGGTTGTTGCTCGATGTAGTCTGGTAGAGTTTACCAATATGTCAGAGGTGCTTCTGCCTACATCAGCAGTAAGATGATTATGGTGTTGGAGGCAGGAAGTACCCATGAAATGTCACTAAACTTCTACCAGACATGGTGCAACAACCCGAAAGACAGCCATCTTCATACTTGAACACATTCAATTATTGTGAGCAGAATAATTTACAGAAAATAAACTTTGAAAAAGTCTGACAGATTCACTTTTGGTGTACAGTGGCACTCTACTTGGAGCCATTACTGTGTAAAAATTAAAAAAAAATAAGTGCCCAGGTGCAGATTAGAAAATAGCTAGGCACAATTAAAATAATGAAACCACAGATTTTAAAACAAATGGATAAACATTTCATTACATCATTACAGAAGGACTTAGAATTTTGTTTTATCATATTTAATTAAACATGATACTTTGTGTGAATTCTAATCCAAATTTTAAATTTTCCTAACAGAAGGAAAAAATGTATGAGAAACATCTGGTCTGAACTTTATTATATTTTGTTTAACGCTTATTATCAGTAAAATTAAGTGTAGTAATAAAAAATGGAATTTCTAAAATTTGTGCAGAGAATACTGAAAATGATCTCGGTGACCTGGAGTCAAAGGCACGAGTATTGCTTGGATACCCTGACTGTGGGTTCAAAATCCTGTTTGAGGCGTGGATGTTTGTGCTCATCTTTGTGTGTTGGTTAGGCAGAGGGCTCGTCACGGGCCAACCCCTCATCCAAGGAATCTTACCAACTGCTGAAAAATGGTTCTGAAACTTCATACAAGGAGGTAGCAGATGCTCTGTTTATAACAAAGCTTCATGTGGAAGCTGCCATTGATACTGAGAACCTCAAAGTCCGGGCAGAACTGGTCGAGAGGGAAGAAGTTAAACGTCATTAATGACTAATCAGGGCATCACACATAAGTTTGTTTCTGAAAGTGCTACAGTCAATTAGGAGAGGAACAAGGAGGCGGTACTTCTGAAATGAGGGTTGCGGCAGACTGGGTGCTTGTGTACTGTGGTGCCTCAACATCCACAACATTCTCTGGATGTGACACAGATGAAGTAAGCTGCGCATGGTGGTTTGCAGAGTTTTTCCTATAACAATATGAATGCTGATAGAAGTTTAAAGGTTGGAATATGAAGGCAAATGTCCCTAATCACTTCTTAGTGCAGCCAGATATTAGATATGGCAACTGTCCAAGAATTTTGTAAGTTGGTGTGTAAGTTACTTTGTATATGTTAAATTTATTTATGAAATTAAAATATGTGTATTCATACTGAAAGAATGTCATATGTTATGAAGTGGTAACTCAACAGAATGATAAATTTATATATTTTGATACTTCTGCACCATGCGCTAGCAACGTGTGGAGGCCACAGTCCAGAGCAACAGGAGGCTTGTCTCTTACCATGAGGTGCAGACAGGATGCCACACCAACACTCACTCTGTCAACAGGCTTGCTCACTTGTAAAATGTGAAGTCAGTCTTCTTAAGTACTTCCTTGGCACTGTTGAGTTGGTAGATATTGATGAAGTTCTTGCCCTGTGAGAGTGCACCTGAATGCAAATCTAGTATAGTTGCCCCTCCCTGAGATCCTCCTAGAGCCATGCCACGCTTTGCAATGCTCAGGAGAGCATCTGCTTCACTTCCTGATACCAGTTTATCGGATACCAAACGACCACAACGCTTTGGCACACAACCTACAATTATATAATAAGTCAATAACTGCTACTTTGCTGTGAAGCAAATATATTAAATTTCAGTACCCATGTTCAGCCCCATTTGTTAGCTAATGAGAAGGCACCTACAGCCTTAATGTTTATTGACAATACATTGCTGCTTACATGTGATCTAGCTGGCCATGCATCACAACAGCTGACAGATAAGCTGTTAAACCATGTAGCAAAAATGTGACATAATACACGAGTTTAAATTGCTTATTCTCATACAATAAAGAATATAAACTGACAATCCAGCGGTATGCTCATAAAAATAACCAACTCTTGTAAGAGTAATAAAAGATCATGTTATGGCTCTCCTGTATCATTTACAAATACTGTATTAAGTTGCACAAAGGTTATCATGTGTAAGAATCATGTATGAACTGTAAAAAATGTGATAGGCTGAATCACACCTCATTTAACGGACTTGTGAAAAGCACAAAAATTAATCAGCATATCCAATTACCTGCTTCAGATTTGAATCATACATTCCCAGATATTAAGCTGGATTTAAGTATGTAATGCAAAGTTATAGCCTGTAGTTTTGACTGGGTGTTCATTTATCTTTGCTTCAGACATTAGGCACTTACCTATAAAACCACAAAATATTCCATATTCACATGAAGTTAGGTTCCCTATAACTGCCATAAATGATTTAAATACAAATGATCTGTTAAGTATCCAGCTGATCTAACCATAATGAAACATGCTTTTATCAGCAATGCTAATTTTCTTAGTTTCAATTTTTCAAAACTATACAGCAAAAAAGAATTATGGCAGTGAATATTATGTGCAGACAATGGTTACTGGTAAAGGACTGGTAGGTCAGAGGTGCAGAACGATACATCTACTGAGCATGTATGGTGTGCATCTATGAGAAACTACCTGATTTAATTCAACAAACCAGAAAATGTTTCAAGTTCAGCCTTGTAGTCATCTGAACAAGTGATATCCTGTGCTCGGTGATGAACTACTTCCTTTTGCTTGGCAAGTGCAACTTCTCTACCATCCTTTGTCCCAAAATACACTACTGTCAGAACCCCTAATATCAGAATGCCTCGGGTAAACACTCGTTGGTACGGAAATGATGGCATGGGCCCATATTTGCTGTAACATAACACATACCATTTATGGGTGCAGGGTACATGGTCAGTGCTATACATGCGCAAATTCATTAGTTTTTCTGATGTGTTGGGAAATTGACAAATGACACTTTAAAGCACTAACTGCAAGAAAAATTAATTTGCAATTATATTTTCTGGTGGGAAATAATTTTTCAAAACTTTTCGTAACATTGCTTGTGACATGAAATTTAATGGTATGATATAGGCATTTAAGCAATACGCAATTTACCTTTTTCCTTTTGGCTCACTTTCTTTCTCCTCTGATGCAGTTTTCGGCAATTTTGATTTCTCCTTAGTTGCGTCTTTTCGTTTTATTTGTTTAACTCCGGTCTCCATTTTAAACAATTATATATTTCTCTCATAGGAAACTAAGTGTCACACTGCTGTGCAATGTTGGTGTTAATCTAATCGCTGTGTGGCAGCTTTCTCTCCATAATCTTTATTCATTACACAGCAAAGCCAACAAGTCAATACTCACCAGTGCTTTGCAAGCTTACCTACTTATTCTATGAGATTACACAACTTTCTGAATCAAAATCAAGAAATTCGCTAGGTTAGCCCAGGAATTGTAATATTTTCAGAATAACTGTGTTAATAATGTTGTGCGGGAAATTTTGACATATGTTTGTCTTTATACAGTTGGTCATTGCTTAATTTCTTCGTTTACCATCAGATTGCAGTACAATCTATTAGTAAAATAACTTTCTTCTGCAGGCGTCGGCCATTTTATTCAGTTACAAGAGGTAGGATAATGGGTAATGATTTTTGGATATTATGTTAAAAGGATTTGTAAATCAGTTGTCGTTTGTAGAGATTTATTTGTTTTGTTCTTTCATTGTGTTTAGTAAGTGTATATTTAGTGTGAATTTTATGGAATGTCGTGTACTATAACTGATCGACTGTTTTGATGTCCCCAAGTATTGATTCATAATTTTAATTTAAACATGCAGATAATCTGCTACGTTGTTAAGATTTAAGAAATGATTTTGTAGCATAATCGTAGTTACATGATGTTTGAATTGGTTCTGTGAAATGGTAACGGTTTTCTAAAAATTTTAAATTGGCAGCATATCGAACAATAATGAAAGGCTGGTTACGTTTCCTTTGCGTTTACGCAGCAAAATATGGTAACAGTATTTACGTCAAAGGGGAGAAAACGTGTAGTTTATACATTAGCCACTGCATCGAGTCTTCATCAAATTTGAAGAGATCCATAACAATGCAGTTGCAGATTTGTGTGACTTTGAAACTCTAGGATAGTGTTGGTATTTTGCATGTAGTCGATTACCACAATTTTGTAGGCAGTCAATTTAAATATTTGTGTAACATAAGGTGCCAGGATAGCAAAGTCTGTATAGTGTCTAGGCAATGGGTTAGATGGCCAGTGTTCAACTCTGGGAAGGACAGGATTTTTGTAAGTAGGATTTGAGGTTTTCATGGTTGAGAGTCTGAAGATGGCGGTTTTTGGGTTGTAGTGCCATGTAGTGTGGTCGAAGTTTACCACCGTTTCAGAGGTCCTTGCTGCCCCCATAACCTTGATGATTTAGGCAGCAAGGACCTCTGAAATGATGGTAAACTTCTACCAGACTACATGGTACAAAACAGAAGACAGCTGTCTTCAGATTTTTATCTTCATCAGAATGCCCAGACATCCAGCCTCCTGTTCTGTGGTTCTTTCCTCACAAGTAAAATGGCTGGGCATGAAGGTGACTTAAAATCCTGCATACCGTGCAGTGTATTGATATATGAAATCATGCATACAAACAAAATATTAATATTAATGCGTAAACAGTTTTGTTTGGATGATATCATATATGAAGGTAACTGTTTACCTTCTACAGCAAAGGTTAAGAATACATGGAGCTGCCCCATATGTCTTGTGCTTAGTTAAGCACCAGGGGTGACTTATATATAAAATTGTGGTACCTCAGTTTTGATTGTAAATTGACAACTATAAGAAAGTACTTTTTATGATATTTGTTAGCCAAGTGTGCCTTATTCCCATTGGAGTGCATGGTGTGTGCAGAAGTAATTTATCTCACATATCCACTATACACATATATGAAGTTTTTCAGGAAACTTTTAAAAAGCTTAATGCACATGTAATTGGTTTGACATTAGGATAGTAGGCTGGTTGTAGTTGGGTTCTAGTGCCAGACTTCTGTGGTGATGATAAACTTAAGGCACCATAATAACAAAGAATCTCTAATGAGATAGGTTTTGATTACCTTGTGGGTTATGACATCACAACCTAGAAGGCCACAATCCAAAGAATCTGTTTTGTCAGGTGAATATCTGCCTATAAACAGAAACCCCTTTACTATAGAGTTTTCTTAATAATGTGACTATTAAAAAGATGTATGGCAGAATGGATTTTTATTAAATTAATATTGCCAGCCCTTACTGAATCATTCAACTAAGTTGAGTTTCTGCTAATATTTGTTTTCTTTACATAAAACTCCAAATTTAGGCTTTTCTGTCTTGTTTTGTTCGTGGTCCAGAGTAAAGTATATATATCCAAAAGAAAATTTATGGAACTTATCAGATAAACATTTTGTATTAAATACTGTAATACCATGCTTTTCTTTGGTGTGAGCAACTTAAGGTTAGATAGGTATACTATATAGCAGAGGTATTCAACCTTTTTTGTTTGCATACCCCCAGATATAATTTCTCTTCAACTTTGTACCCACAAAGTTGTTGGTATGTATATAATTCAAGTTATACATAGTATATAATCTACATCTAAAATAAATTACATTACTGATTATTCAGTGTTTATTATAAAATAATATAAATATTTTTTGAATTTCACGTACCCCCTAAGATGTCTTCCCGTACCCCAGGTTGAATACCACTGCTATATAGAGTACACAAGAGTTTATAAGGTGTTTTATGTCACATTAAATGTGTGTGATAGTACCACAGTGATTCACCAGTCTGGTCCCTACCTCAAAGAAAATACAGTGTATCACAATTATAAAGATGTGCATCAGAATAGGTGTTGGTCTGACATTAAATCCTCACACTGGATGTTAATAATGTATATGAGTGATGGTGACCTTCCTGCCATTTGCACAAGAAATAATAGAGAAGTGCTTGAAACATGTCAACTATATTCACACAAAAGAATTTCAACACTTTTTACCCCATATCTAGCCAGTGTTGGCCAACAGTTGGAATTTAAGTATCTGTGCATATCTTTGTGTAATGTTCAATACCTAATCATTTTTAGCCTTTATTAGCTGTGTATCACTGCTTACATGTGGTCCAGCTAGTCAAGTGTTGCAGTTGTATACTGGTAAACTCTTGAACTGTGGAGTAAAAATCCTGCCAGCAGCCCCATTATGTGGGAGTTTATTCCTTTGAAGCTGAAGCTTGTTTAAATTTTTAAGAATTCACTCTGTACCTCAAAGAAAGCACAACACTTCTCCTTAACAACGGTTAACTGATTAATGCTGTTTAAGGTAATAATCAGTGTTTATTCTGAAAATTATATGAGGCACATAAGTGCAAAAAGTAGTTATTGATAGTTAAAGCTGCTAGTTCATATAATTATTATTCATATATGATAAATCTACATTGTGTATTTAAACTTTATAAAAGTATTACAAGGGGAGGATTATCCAAGGAAAATTATGAGTTCTCAGAATTGACGTACGATGCTTTCAGTTTTGTATGAATTCATCCAACTTGTAAACAAATTAATTTTTTGAAAATGGACCTGTTGTTTAATTAGAAGTATGCAATGAGTATAGATTTAACATTTTATTTGCATTTTAAGGAACATCAAACAAACATAATCTTGGTGAGTTTCCAGGTTTTCAGATAGCAAGTATGAAGATGATTGATTGTCTTCTGGGGTGTTGTGCCATGTAGTCTAGTAAACGTTTACTGTCCTGATGATCTAGGAAGCAAGCACCTCTGAAATGTCAGTACACTTCTGCCAGACTACATGGTGCAACCTCCCAGAAGTTGGTCATCTTCAAACATGTTTTGTGTACGAACACTAATAATTGGAAGTTATGGCAGTGGATCTAAGGATGTTATAAGTAGAATTGGTATTGGGAACTGCTAATATGTAATTTGAAGACATATTTAATTGACATCGGATGGATGTTACTTTCTATATGAAATAGTAATGCACGTAGTCCATTCTTCTGATGTGTCTGAAGTGTAGGTTGTGTGTGCCTTGCTGATTAAGTTTTTCCCACATGTGAGATTAAAATTTTTGTCATTTTTATTGTTTGAATTAATGTTTATGTGACTTGAATGGGTTATAAAAATTATGTGGCAAAGCATTTATTTTTTACTGAAGCAACAGCAATTTTGTTTCTGTTGAGAAACAGAATTGCTTTTGGTTTTAAGTTGTTGGTGTAGTGTGAAGTAGATATCCTACTTAATGTGAAGTAAGTTGATAGTCGTGTTTGCCCGTTGTATTAGAAATTTGGTTTCGTATGTATTAGATACTTTGAATCCCCCTCCTCTGTTTCAGGTTTTATTTTTAGTAGAAATGTACAATTTGTATAATTTGTCACAGACTTTGTTTCAGTTGATATACTGAGTGGTAAAGAAAAGAGGCCTGTGTTTGCCAGTGCAGATTCAAATGCATGAAAGAAAAGTTTTGTTATGTGATTGAAAATATCGTTTACAATGATGGATTGTGGTTCCAGCAAAATACAGTGGTGCTGAAGGTTTGTGAGGCACGGAGACGAAAACAGAAAGGTTATTGTGTTGGTAGCACCTTAATTACACCAGACAGTTTCTCTTCCTTTTAGGTGGACAGACCTGAGAGAGAATCGAGTTGGGGGAGAGTCCTGCTTCACACTAACCATGGTGTATCATAGGTCGGACAGCGGAGGTTCGAGCTCCGCCGACAGCGCTGCCAGAAGGCACTCCGAGTCCTCGCGGGGGTCAGCTCGAGATGATGAACGCCCCAAGTCTAGAGACGACAGAGAAGACTCCAAGTATAGTAGTGACTATTCAAGAGGTAGCTCGCGATATAAGGACAGGAGGTACTCGGACAGTTCCAGGTCTAGAAATGGCAAAGATGATGTGAAGTATAGTGATGGTTCAAGATACTCTAAAGACTCAAGATGTGGAGATGGAAGAGAAGAAGGGAAGTATTATGATAGGTCCAGGGATGGGAGAGAGGAAGGTTCAAGGCACAGGGAGGGAAAGGATGATGGGAGATATTCAGAAAGCAGTTCAAGATATGGTGATAGTACAAGATACCCAGAAGGCTCAAGATACTCTGAGGGATCAAGGTACAGCTCTGGAGGATCAAGATTTAGCAGTGGTGGAGGAAATGGAGAGGGGTGGTACTCTGAGTCTTCACGCTATCGAGATGACGGCAGTAGATATGGTGGAGGAAGCTCTAGGTATCGTGAGGAAGATGGTGGTGGATGTGATAAAAGAGAGGGTGACCAGTATGGGAGAGAGGATACAGTAACAGATGACTTGGCAGCAGATACTGCAATGAGTTCTGAACAGGAAAAACTTAAGAATGTGTTTCAGAATGATGGTAGTTTTTTGGAAATGTTCAAAAAGATGCAGGAGGCCAATAAAACCACCCCTGATACAGTTGAAACCTCTGCCTCAGAACCAAGTGCTCCTGAAGCAAGCATAAGTGTAAAGCAGGAAGTAGCTCCTCGACAAACTTCGGCCATTCCCAGACGGGGTATGGCCGCAGGTATCGTAGGCAAGCGACGGGGTGGGCGAGTACTTCCAACAGGAATGGTTAAGAAACAGAAGCGAGAAGAAGAAGAGGAAGAAACACCAAAGGATGCTTGGTCTTTGTACATGGCTGAAGTCCGCAAATACAAAGAAGCTTCTTGCGAAGAGGAAGGAAAGACACGGCCCCTTGTCAAATAAGTGACCGTCAGCAATAATACTTTGACATGGGAGTTGTAATATCACTTCCATTGCTTGAATATGCCGTAGCTTCCAAAGGCATACTGCTTTGAAATTTGGGTATGAAATTTACCTGCAAAATGCATTAAATTTATATTAACGTTACTACCATTCATATGCCACTTTTACGTGATCAACGGAGGTTTTCACGAATATCACAGTTTCATATGTACCGGCATCTGTGTTCTATATGAACCTTGTGTTGTACTTCATTTTGGCATTAATGTTTCATCTTCACATACTAGCTTTGCATATCTGTTCTCATTTTGATTATCATTGCAAATCTAAAATAAGCATGTTGCAGCTCAGAAGTGCAGAAACAGTGTTATACTTTATTGTGGACTGAAGTGGTGTTATATACGCATAACTTTCAAAGGAGATTCAGTAGTGCCAATGTATACAAATGTGGAGGGGAATTTTTATAGTAAAGGAAATGCTAATTATAGGACCTGCATATTGGGGTTAATGATCAAGATCCATTGTCTGTGTTAAATATATTTTGAATTATTCTGCGACGCAAATTTTGTGATGGACATGACAGTATTATGTGATGTATATTTGTGGTATGTGAGGTACATGGTATGAACTTACCATAACTGCACAAAATATTTGCGATATGTTATTTTTCATGATGCGTGTGTATGTTTGGAAAGTTTTTAGCTGGATTGAAGCTCTCACTTAATTACACCGTTTAGTTGTCCCTCGTTTTGTTAATAAGTTTACGTGCTAAATATGGCATATTATGCTTCATTATGTGATGATAAACTCTTAAGAGTATGAGTGAAAAATCAGTATTCAGCAGTACAAAGCAGAACTAATGTAAAATATGGTAAGTATTAGGAGAGGTTTTGGATGCAATTTTAAAGCCTCTGTGACCACATCCATCATTGTAACCAAAGTAGTTGCATGAGTAATGTTTTGTTTTCTTCAGATTTTGTCTTTGTCTGCTGTTGGCGGCGAGCTCGTATCAGCTAATTCTGAAATGATACTCTAAGTATACGGAAAAATCATAAATAACAGACGGCCTTCTTTGTGTCAGATGCTTCATTTTATATGATGAGGCTGGTGTCGACTATAAACTAATTTGTTAATAAGAATTTGCTGGTTATTTCTGTTTTTATTTCCATTATAACAGATTCTGACAAAATACAGTTTGCATACTATAATCTTAAAGTTTTATGCTTGCATTTGCAATGCTCTAAAACATTTATTTCATACAGAATTTATTGTTATGGTTATGGTTTAACTTCGTATAGAAATTCACATTCCTAGCTCCAATGGTTTATCAACATCAAAGGGAAAGCTGGTGTGCTCATGTGGCTGACATTAAAGGATTGCCTGAAGAAAAGTTAAACACGTGGAACATTGTGATGGATTATATGCAATTGTAGAGTGACCTCTATTTGTCGTTTCATGTATATCTGATACATGGTTTAACGTGAATTAGATCTAGGGGAAAATACACATGTAGGAAAATATATCTCCCAAAATTTCTACTATTACTAGGTGTATATATCTGTTACGCTTGAGCCATGCTGAATACACTTACATTCTCAGAACATGAAATGTTATATTCCATTGTAGCAAAGCCTTATTTATGTATGTGTATGGTACAAATTTGTCTGAATAATCGATTATTATAATATATTTGAGAAATAGTTTACTTTTATTTTATGGAAGGTCTTTTTTTAAATTTTGCTTGAAGTATGTGACACAAAATCACATTATTTATTTCTCAAAATGTGCTTTTGCTTAGCATTGAAAGCCAAACTATTACAGTGTTATTTTACAGGGTCATTGTAATTAACCCTTGCTTTGGTTTTGTTTAATTGAATATGCTGACTGCTGAGAAAGATACAGATCTTTTACTTTGAGGGAGAAACTTAAGTTACAAATGAGATTTCAGTTTCTTATGGCAGTGAATATAAAGAAGGGTGTCTTCTGTTCAGGTTGTTGCATTGTGTAATGTGATAGAAGTTTATCAATAATTTAGTGGTGCTTACTGTCTGCATCATCAGGTGATGAATAGGCCTGCTGTAGTTTTCATCACCTGATGATGGAGACAGTAAGCACCGCTGAATTATTGATAAACTTCTATCACGTTATACAATGCAACAACCCAGAAGACAGCCTTCTTTGATACAAGTGAAAACTGAGTGCCCAGTTAAATATTTGTGTTTAAATAAGGAGGCTGAAATAAGTTAGTAATTTAGGATATTACTTTGTGATAGAATTTGTGATTTCTAAAAGTTGCCTAAAGCTCAGATAGGTTGGGCATATAATTAGGAACAGAAATAAAGAAATTCTGTGGGGAAATTTCCTGGGAAATGTTCATTTTGATGACCATTAGAGATGGGGAGGGGGGGATAATATTAAGATGAATCTTAGAAAAATAGGTTGTTGTAGTGGAATGCAAGATGGATGGAAGTTGTTCGAGATCTTTTGTCAGTTGAACCGTCTTTTATTGTCATCTTCATGCTAACTTCTTAAAATTCCATGTTTTCCTATGAGAGGTTAATGAAGCCCAACATATTCTTTGCTTCTGCACCAAATGGAGGTGAGGGAAGTCTTGTGCCTTGGACACTTTACCCTTGGGGAAAGCCCCAGGTACCTATTGGACAGGAGACTTGTTGAGCTAGTCTGGATGCTGCTGTGGTTAAGTGAAAATATAATAGTAGATTTCACATATTGAATGTCCGTGTTTGCAGGGATAATTTGACTGCGATGCCTTCTCTTGCTGTCATGGCTTCTAAGAAGGAAGTACCACAGGAATTGTCTACAGCTCCTTTTGATCCACGATTTCCAAATCAGAACCAGACTAGGTGAGTGTAATTTGAAAGTGATCGGCATGTGCATGTAGGCAAGCCAGTATTTTGTAGACAGTGGAGGCACCTGCTGATCTTTGGTTTGAAGCTAGTTCTGACATAATTCTGTATTTTATTTTCCATTGTTTCATTGAGATGTGCTTATCAAGAGGTTGCCAGAATGAAAATTAGTTGTGACAGTTTGTTATTTTCACTCTGAAGTTTTAAAAATCGATCAGGACTTGACCACGTTTTGGATGTGAAAGTATAAACATTTTATTTCAGGTACTGCTGGCAGAGCTACGTCGACTACCATCGATGCCGGAAATTGAAAGGAGAAGATTATGCACCATGCGATTATTTCCGCAAATGCTATGAAAGTCTTTGCCCTTTTGCTTGGGTTGAAAAGTGGGACACTCAGCGAGAAGAAAACCGGTTCCCAGGAAAAATTTAGTCATGTTACGCGACCATGTTATACCTGCAGATGTGACTTAAAACTTCATTAGTTGGGACAGTTCTAGTTAAAGGTGGTTATGCCATCAGAGTAGTGGTTTCTAAGGTAACAAATAATATTAAGGTTTTTTTTTGTTTCCACACTACACTTTGAGTGTATTTCACATCTTATGCAAATGTGGTAACTCAGATTTTTTTAAATATAGAATATTCATCAGTCTCCGAGATGTGGAAGTAGTTGTATAAATGAATAACCACCTAATTCAGTAATTAAATCCTCCATAAAATGTGTATATTTTCTTTTTTAAGTATTGTGAAGTTATTTGACATATGCCAAAATATTAAATGGAACTTTACTGTTTAGTAAAACTTGATTACCGAGCAAAAAATTTACTGTACTTTGTAAATGTTGATCTCTGATTTGAGGACCACTATTCGTAGTATCCAGTTGTTTTCTCAAACCATTTGATCCCAATCCCTCCCATAGGAATTTCACCCAAGAAATATTCTCAGAATTGTAACTCTAATGCCCATTAAACTTGAGGTTCCTGTGTAGTAGTTGACCTTCAGAGTAGAGATTTAAGTTCTACTAATTAATGCAAAAATCCCATTATGTTTTGTATGGCAGGTGTTAAGAATGGTTAAATATTTGCTGAGACTCACGAAATTGAGGTTTTTTGTTAATATGGCTCTTTTAGATTGATTTATATTTGTGGGCCTCTTTTGTAATTGTATCTGTACTGTGACTTCTGGTTTTCACACAAATACACTGCTTGCTACACTGTACACCTTGCTAATAGCTGTTTACAGAATTTCCTGCTAGGGGACATCACTAAGTGATAATAATCCCCTAACCCCTTGTAGTGGACCAGTTTAGGTTCGCAGAATGTGGAAATTTGCATTTATATCTCTCTCATAAGACTGATGGAATATCCATAAAAATTTACTGTTAGAACAAATGGGTCCACAGTGGCAGCGCGGTCTGAGGCGTGGGCCTTGTGCCGCTTGGTTGCTGGGACCGTGGGTTCGAATCCGACTCAAGCCATGGATGTTTGTCCGCGTTCTTGTGTTGTGCTGTCCTGTGTACAGGTAGAGGCCTTGCGACGGGTTGATCCCTCGTCCAAGGCGTACTACCGAATGTCTATAGATCAAGCCAACGAAAAAGTTGGGACCGGCAGTGCTCAGGCACTTGAAGAACGGGTTGCTCCCAGTATCCCTGTTTGAACAAATGGCATTATAACGTACGTCACACGTCTGGTTAGTTGACAAGTCGTGTAAAGGAACACTGCCCCCCATACTTTGTGGCCAAGTTGTTTGCACTGCTTTGTACTTGGGATTTCTCAACCCAGAGATTGGTTATCCTGAATGAGGTTTGTCATGGTTTTGCTCAGTTCCTTCAGGCATATGCTTGGCTTGTGGCTTGACATGTATAGTAAGCTTTATTTTTCATCGATGAATTGGTTGGCATAAATTTGATTCAGTTCACATCAAGTTCTTTTATTTTAATGTATTAAAGGTAACGTTTGTAGTTAATATTATGTCACCTGTTGTAAAGCGGTATAATTTTTTGAAGCTGTGGTTTTTAACATATGAGCTCAAAAGAACTTGGCATTCTCAGTGTTCATGAAGAGAACAAAAGTGCAGAATTTAAATCAAATTTATTAGTTCCAGGATAAAGTTGAAATATCTTACAGTACTGCATACTGGATACTTTGCCCAAAGAGAGAACTGATAAAATCAGGTAAGGGTAGGAAAAAAGTAGAGGGTCTGTGATTGAAACATGGCAGAGTCAAAAACTAGTAATATATTATGAACATTTCGAAGAAACAATTTATTCCATCTTCAGAACATCATTGTCATATTCACAGCTTAGAGAACTACAAATTTCACAAGATTGAGAATGTATTTGCAGGGATCATATTTTAATCAAAATGAACATTGCTTCTACATTCTTTCTGATTCACTGTGAAGTAGATTAAATATTACTATTAAATAAACTGAGAAATTGCCAACAGTCATTTTTAGTAATTTGGTGGTAATCTGTACACTGAGGAACAAAATGTGTTGGTAAGTTGAACACAGAAGTGTTTTTTTCAGCCACTTCCTAAAGTTTTCAATGTTTTTCATTTAATAATCATAGTTATTAGTTAAGTGATTCATAATATCGATTATTCAAAGCTCTGGTAGAGCTTCCCCTCAACTTTATTAAAGTGGGTGGATCGATTTGTGCTCCAGCTACATAACCCGTGGTATGTGGTGAATAATTGTTGATTGTAACTTGTTTTATGGATTGACCTTTTCTGAATACCATGGATTATTGGTACTTTTAGTTTATTTGTCTAGATGGCATGTAGGAGCAAGTATGTTAGGATTAAAGCGGGACCAAACTGCTGTCTTAAAAATCGATTGGTGTAGACGTCTTCGTTTGGAGTTCGATAAGAGTCTCAAAGGAACGAGTGTAAATTTGCCTGAGTATATACAATATTGACAGTGATGTTTGTAATGGCGGAATTATTGTGATTAGTGAAATGGGGATTGTGGCTGACACCTGTTGGATCAAGTGCCGAGAAGAACGGTTATGTTTTAGCAACAGTGATGACGTGTTGGTGATAGTGTAAATTGTGTAAATATAGGCCAAACTAAATGTTCCGTAGGCATTATTCTGCACACCAGTTTGTCATTCAGGTATAAGCATTGGTTAGAAATGTACAGTTGTCCGTAAAATAATGGTGGGGTAACAAACAGTCATGGTTTTGGAACAAAGCACGATAGAGACATGAAATAAACTTCAAAATAAAGAAAAGCTCTCCAAGAATCTTACCTGTTCAGTAGATTTAGATATGCGCTACTTTAGTTGCCCTGCAGACATCAAGACGATATTCAAGCTCTTGCCATACACGACCGAGAATTTTTAGACAAGTTTATGTTCAGTGATGTGGCTACGTTTCATGTTTCGGGAAGAGTCCATCGGCATAATGTTAGAATATGGGGTAATGAACCTCCATATGTCATTATGGAACATCAACGTGATAGCCCGAAAGTTAATGTGTAGTGCGCAATTGGACGAGACAGAGTTATTGGCCTCTTCTTTTTTGCTGAACAAACTGTGACGGGAAAGAACTTCCTGGATATGTTAGAAGGGTATGCAGTGCCCCAAATACCGGAGAATTTTATTCTCTAGTTAGATGGAGCTCCACATTTTGCCACATTCGTGCGGGATCACCTAAACCAAACATTTCCTCAGCGATGGGTCGGACGAGGAGGGTAGATAGCCTGGCCTCCACGCTCTCAAGATCTTACCCCTATGGATTTTTATTTGTGGGGTTATGTGAAGCAACAAGTGTTCTCTGTCCAAATAACAAATTTGGACCATTTGAAAGAACGGATCGCTGAAGCTGTTTCATCTCTCACACCGGGATGTTCTCGGTCGTGTATGGCAAGAGCTTGAATATCGTCTTGATGTCTGCAGGGCAACTAAAGGATCTCATATCGAAATATACTGAACAGGTAAGATTCTTGGAGAGTTACTCTTTATTTTGACGTTTATTTCATTGTTCTATCGTGCTTTGTTCCAAAACTATGACTGTTTGTTACCCCACCATTATTTTACGGACACACTGTATGTATTTCTGCTATACACGATAATATATGTACGCGGATCATATCAGACTACGTCAAAGCACTCAAAAGGTGCCCATAGAAACTAATTTGTGCCCCTAAGTAAAGTGGTGGTTGAAATGAACCAGGTTAAACGTCAGAATAGGTTTGACAAACGACCGTTTTATAATGTTGTAATCGCGCAACCAGTCGAAGTGAGGACGTACGAAGGGAAGCAATGCGTCGTCAAACTCAGATTTCTAGTATCCGTGATTTTACATTAGTATCCATTTTTGCAGACCGCGGTATTTGGTTATGCGTTTCCGCAATTTTTGTGAACACGGAAAAAATCTGTGGCTGGCCTGACGAAGAGATCTTATTTGCTGGGGATACGGCCACTTTGACCAGATTCGTAGCCTGCAGTCTTCCACTACGGTGAGTCACTTTTTATATCGTTATTTTTGAACATGTTTTCACGTATAGGTATAATTGACAGCGGTCACATTCCCCACAACCTGCAACTTCCAATAAGGCTCAAAGGTCTTCCCTACCGCGGTGTTCCCGCGTTTGTAAAAGATTGCTGTGCATCTAGTGGTGCTTTACACTGAAGCTCTGACTCACTCAAGATGCAGATTATTAGCCTGAAATGACTTAATTACAGAGGTCGGACTGTTGCAGAGTTTTTCATTGTTTGTATTGTATTCAAATAAGATTTTCAGGTTCACCGTTGCCAATCAAACATGCCGTAGTGCTGTATCTTTCTTCTCTGTCTGTAGTGTACTTGTTCTCTATAGTAATTTTGGAGACGTCATGGATTATTTTCGCAGTTTTTGTTTGGCATATAGTACTGTTGCTGTCTGCATTGGAGGTTTCGTTACCGACATTTATTGTCTGCATTATTTGAAATCCGAGTCTCAACCTTACGAAATGCTCTGAATGGTAAAGTAACGTATCATGTTTTTAAGTGGTCATAAGTTGTTCTTTGTGTTAGTTGTGATCCATACACGGGGTTGATGTCCGATTCGACTCATCATTGAATTTTTATAAAACTGAATGTTATTCGAGAACTCTGCCTATATTGTTCAAGTTTAGGTTAGGTTACAAAGCCCGTAATTTCCGTTGGTTGGAGCGGACTTCATAGTGACTCCTGGGCCGTGGCGCCATCTCGATCACCTGAACACGAATACCTTATCAAGTAATGGAATGCAGCCACCATAAACTCGCACGCGTGCTGTTCAAGTAGCGAACGCCAGCCAGACTTCGTGTTACAGCATACTTTAAGTCGGTCTGTATAGCCTGGTTTCCGAATTCTTTGAAACAGTAATATGGGACGGTGCGTGTCTGTAGACCCAGCTTGCTGTGTAGTGCAAATCACGGCAGTTGATACCGGGCACTAGCCCGCAATGAAGGTGATTATACTGACCCACGATGTGGGCGAAACG